GGGGAAGGGACAAGGCAGGGCCAGGTGTGAGGGGGGCCCAGGGATGAGGGGGGCCCAGGTGTAATTGGGGGGCTCATGGACTCAACAGGCCCAGGTGTAAAGGGGGCCCAGGGGCTAGGGGGGTTCAGGTGTAAGAGGCACCCAGGAACGCAGGGGCCCAGGGACGCAGCAGGCCCTCTTTGTATACAGTAGGAGCTAGAGAACCATGAAAGAAAGCAGAGGTGCTCTACTTAGCAGGGAAGGAGAGCTAACAACTGAGGACAGCAAGATGGCTGGGGGTGTTTTATGCCAATTTTTTTTTCAGGCTTCATTAAAAAGGTTAATGGTGACCAGATATGCAACAGGATTACTGTTAACAAGAAAGGGGAAGGAACACAAGCTAAAATAGGGCAAGAACTGGTTAAAGAATATTGTGATGCACTGGCTGTATTCAGGGCCTGATGAAATTCATCACAAGGTACTTAACAAACTAGCTGCAGCAATCTCAGAACCATTAGTAATTACCTTCCAGAGCTCATGGAGGATTGGGCCAAAAGAAATCTGATGAGTTCAACAAGGACAAGTGCAGAGTCCTGCACTTAGGATGGAAGAATCCCATGCACCGCTACAGGCTGGGGAGTGACTGGCTAAGTAGCAGTTCTGCAGAAAAGGACTTAGGGGTTACAGTGGACGAGAAGCTGGATATGAGTCAGCAGTGTGCCCTTGTTGCCAAGAAGGCTAACGGCATTTTGGGCTGCATTAGTAGGAGCATTGCCAGCAGATCGAGGGAAGTGATTATTCCCCTCTATTCGGCACTGGAAAGGCCACCCCTGGAGTATTGCGTCCAGTTTTGGGCCCCCCACTACAGAAAGGATGTGGACAAATTGGAGAGAGTCCAGCGGAGGGCAAAGAAAATGATTAGGGGGCTGGGGCACATGATTTACGAGGAGAGGCTGAGGGAACTTGGCTTATTTAGGCTGCAGAGGGGAAGAGTGAGGTGGGATTTGGTAGCAGCCTTCAACTACCTGAAAGGGGGTTCCAAAGAGGATGGAGCTAGGCCAGGGGTGGGCAAACTTTTTGGCCTGAGGGCCACATCGGAGTATGGAAATTGTATGGCGGGCCATTAAAGCTCACAAAATTGGGGGTAGGGGTGCAGGAGGGGGTGAGGGCTCCAGCTGAGGGTGCGGGCTCTGGGGTGGGCCCAGAAATGAGGAGGTCGGGGTGTGAGAAGG